GTGAGACAGAGAAGGAGTGTGTGTGTGTGTGTGAGAGGGAGAGAGGGAGAGCTAGGGAGAGAGAGAGAGAGAGAGAGAGAGAGAGAGAGAGAGAGAGAGTGTGTGTGTGTGTAGGTGTGTGTGTGTGTGAGTGAGTGAGTGTGTGTGTTGTGAGTGTGTTTGTGAGTGTGTGTACGTGCGTACGAGAAAGACGGAAAGAAAGAGAGAAGGGGTGGAACAGACAGTCTGACAGACAGGCAGGCATGCAGACGAGCAAACAGACAGACAGACAGACAGACAGACAGACAGACAGACAGACAGACAGACAGACAGATGGCATAAATATAAGTATAATGAGATAAACTGTAAACCGTTTTCAGCTTTGTCAGTTTAGGAAAGAAACAAGTCACACACGGGAAGCGCCCCAAGAAGTTTCATAACAACTTCTTAATGCGTAATGAATCCATTAGACTTCTCCAGACGCCAGACCTCTGCCCTAATATTTTTATAAGCCTATTAACATGTAACGCCACGCTTCAACTGAACCCAACAAAAACAACGACGGAGCTGTCAAGCAGAGAAGAAGGGTTACGATCAGGTGAAAAGAGCTTCATTCATCACCCTCACAAGAGAATCCGAAAGATTCGGTCACCGACGAAGAAACAACACTCTTAAAAACAGAAGCAGAAGCAGCCTGGCGAGAAGGCGGTCCGACAAGGCAGGGCTAGGGGGCTATACCCAGCTCAGGGAAGTAAGAACAGGTAAAGTAAAAACGGTCTGTTGTTTAGGACCTACCTTGAATCGGAGCTGCTTCACAACTGTCGTCAGTGGCATGGTGGCTGCCAGGAAAATTAGATTTAAATTACTCCAGCTGTTGACTAGGAAATTTCACAGTGTATACGATATCACAGTACTAGTGTAACTCAAGTAGAGGCATGATTTTCAGTGATTCAATCACATCCTAGCATACACTGTGATACACACACACGCACACACGGGCACCTGCTTGAGCGCTAACTAAAGTGGTCCACCACACGCCAGCCAGCCACACATTCCGCGAGTAATCGTGTCAACACAGGCATGAAAGACTTGTCTCCCCTCTCTTCCTCTCTCACGGGCAAGAGGCCACCAATGGCAAGTCAGAGAGTCGGATAGCGTTCTCCGCCAACAGCAAGGGCCTGCGTTATCATTGGTGAAATCGAGGGGGGTTTTCCCAGCCTCAATTTGGATAGCTGTTGAAGTTCTGTAAGTAAATCCTGTTCGAGTTGAAGATGTGGGTCATTTGACGTCATTCGTTGACAAATGGGGTGCTGTTTGGTTTTGCTTAGCTAAAAACATAATGAATTATAATGAGTCCTTCATTGCACAAAGCAATCTGTTTCGGATATCGATATTGTTGACGGCACGGGAAATAAAGCATAGATAAGGTGATTGTTATTTATCAAGGTATTGAACGTTAACAGTTATCGCGGGCAATGTGACATCGATCTGAGGTGGTGGTGAGTCATGACTGCGCCAAGAACGAAGACAATTATAAAGCCCTCACCAAAAAAAAGTTGTGTAATTGTTATTGGGTCGACTGTTTAGCGCAGCTGTAATCTAATCTCTCTCTCTCTCTCTCTCTCTCTCTCTCTCTC